ATTTTAATTTATATCGTAATTTCGAGTGAGTTTTGATTAATTATTAACAAATGGCGTCCTATAGAAAATTTGTTATAATGTATTAAGTATAATTTTAAAAATGTAAAGAATAATAAATTTAATAATATATAAGGAAATATTGAGAAGAATTATTTTAATTTATATCGTAATTTCGAGTGAGTTTTGATTAATTATTAACAAATAGCGTCCTATAGAAAATTTGTTATAATGTATTAAGTATAAATTTAAAAATGTAAGGAATAATAAATTTAATAATATATAAGGAAATATTGAAAGGAATTATTTTAATTTATATTGTAATTTCGAGTGAGTTTTGATTAATTATTAACAAATGGCGTCCTATTGAAAATTTGTTATACCGTATTAAGTATAAATTTAAAAATCTACAGAATAATAAATTTAGTAATAAGTAAGTCAGTAATGAGGAGTATTGTTTTAATTACCTACTATCTTAATTTTATATGGATTCTGAATAATTTCAGACGATTTCGTATTGAAAACCTATTGTAATATATCAAATATATACTTGATATTTAAAAACATAATGAATTTAATAAGAAGTAAGTTAATAATAAACAGAACTGTTTTAAGTACATGCTATCCTAACTTTGTATGATTTTCGAGTAATCCCAACTTCCTATTGTAATCCTATTATAACCTATATTGTAAACCTATTGTAGATATATAGTCTTATATGTATATAACACAGACTATAGACTTAAAATTCTAAAAAGTAATGAATTTAATAATTTAATTTCAATAATTTTAATAAATACAATAAATCAACAACATAAGGGTTATTTTAATCCTCCATTCTCATAATTTCGTATTAATCATTTTTCTATTAAAAAACTACCCTGTTATATAAATATATACTTATAAATTAAAATTTAAAACCTTTCATAATAAATTAATTAGCAATTTTAAAAGTACACATTTATTTCTTAATCCCCTTTTACATTTTCTCAAAAAAAAAAATTTAACCCCGATTTTTTTTACTTGCTTTAATTATATAATATTTATAAAATAAAATAAGATATACAAGAGAATATGAGACAAATTTCTACATCTAATGATAACCCTTCTTCTGATATATCGATGATTTATTGTCTTTCTTAATTTTTTATTTATATCGCGGGTTTAAAATATAAACGTCAACAACCGGAAAATATTTCAATCATGAAGCCTACATACAAGACATCGTAGGTATTTGTACATGCAAAACCTTCGGAAAAATATACTCGAAAAGGTCGCGAAGGAGAAAAGGGGGGAAGTCAAATTACCCGACACAGAACACATTATCTTTACTTGATAGACCCCATACTCTAAAAGCAGTGACTCTCAAGCATGAATCTCCCGAAGAACGAATTTAAAGGTAATAGGTTGCCGACGAAAAAAACAAGAGTATTGAGAAGCATTATGGACCTGACTTGCTTGTTACCCTCTTAAATTCTCGATCTACCGGGATAACCCCCCAACGCATAAATTTATTCCAACAAATTCTATAATTACATTTCCGACCGGGACATCGCGCAAACCAAAATTTACGTTTCCTTCGTTGGGTACGGAAGTTCCATCCCACTCGATTAGTCGATAATTCATGGTTCCAAGAATCAAGCAATTTATTTAAATTTAAAATCACCTTCGCCAAGAGTCGCGAAAAAATTATTAACAAATTTTACTTCAACGCTCGAACAATATTAGGAACTATTTCCTATATATATCGAATATCAAACTTTCATCGGCACTATAATAATTAACGATTAATAATTAATAATTAATAATTAAAAATTAATGATCGATGCTGTCAAAAAAGTCTGTCGAATTTTTAAAAAATACGAAAATATTCTGTACACGACACACGTACGATAACGACAGTAAAAGCTATTGATACTCGATTAGAATTAATTTCGAAAAAATTCGGAGATTTTTGGAAAAGATTTTCGAATTCGGAACTCTGTTTGTCAATGTCGGATCACTCGTAGATCGAGGTCGATGATATAGAGCACAGACACACGAACGATAACGACAGTAAAAGCTTCTAATACTCGATTAGAATTAATTTCGAGAAAATTTGGAAATTTTCGGAAAAGCGTGATTCGGAATTGTTCGTGAGTGTCGGATCACTGGTAGATCGAGATCGATGATATTGAGCACAGACACACGAGTGATAACGACAGTAAAAGCTTCTAATACTCGATTAGAATTAATTTCGAGAAAATTTGGAAATTTTCGGAAAAGCGTGATTCGGAATTGTTCGTGAGTGTCGGATCACTGGTAGATCGAGATCGATGATATAGAGCACAGACACACGAGTGATAACGACAGTAAAAGCTTCTAATATTCGATTAGAATTAATTTCGAGAAAATTTGGAAATTTTCGGAAAAGCGTGATTCGGAATTGTTCGTGAGTGTCGGATCACTGGTAGATCGAGATCGATGATATAGAGCACAGACACACGAGTGATAACAACAGTAAAAGTTTCTAATACTCGATTAGAATTAATTTCGAGAAAATTTGGAAATTTTCGGAAAAGCGTGATTCGGAATTGTTCGTGAGTGTCGGATCACTGGTAGATCGAGGTCGATGATACAGAGCACAGACACGAGTAAACCGTGGAATCGGACAATCGGCGCGCTTCCATCCGCGGTGAACAACAATGTAGCTATTTTTCCTCGAGATGTCACTGCCAATTAATGATCTAGAAAACGGTGGGTCTTCGATGCGCGTGTAAGAACGGACGAAAGCAACATCTTCTTTGAACGCTTATTCCTTTGAAGACAAGTGATAACCAGGTGTAGAAAATTACCGAGAACGCTAAACCTGACAAGACGAAGATCAGGTAGACCAGTTGCTAGTAAACCTCGCGATGGTCTCCTGAGGGAGAGACCATGGATTTCCCCGTACTTGATTACGCCTCGGTAAAAACTGGGGCAGGCTAGGTGCGAGTTCGAGGCAGCTTCCACATCAGAGTGAGGTGTTTCTTCGCGATACGTGACGCACCTGCCATTAAATGTCTGCACGTCAAGATAGCTTCCTTGCCAGACGTCGACGTCTCTCCCGAAAAGGGCACTCACTGCTCCGCCATCGGGCCGTATTTCAGCATACCAACTTGCAAATACTCGGAGGGCACCAGTCATTCAGGCGATTTTCTTTTCAGCCACGTCGATTATGCTTTCTTCTTTCCAGCGTTTTATCGTCGCGTAACCCGTCACCGATGGAATTTCTTAACTACATACTGGCCACGATTTCAACCGCGCGACGGGCATAAAGAAACGGCCCGATAAAGCAAAAGACCAAGTTTGGACGAGACTTCGATCGATCTCGATGCCTAGGTGTCGAAACGAAGTTTCAGTCCGACGTGAAATATAAACAATCGGGTAAAAACGCGTTGGGCGAGAATTCACTTCCCTGACAGCCTCTTTTTACAACCAGCCTACCAATCTCGCCTTACTTTCGCGCCAAGAATTTTATATTCCGCGAAATTCCATGTCGAACCAGTCGACCGCGAAACGGGTACATCTTCCTTAAATATTCTCGAGAATTCCCAAAATTTATTCTATCAATTCGAAACATTTCACTTGCGATTATATTTTACCATTTCTAACCGAATTCCACGCGATTTTGGTGAAATTCCAAGGCAAATCCAAAATCTCGCACGAGCAAAAATTAGAATGGAAATTCGACGAAAAGGATCGCGATACGAAAATTACGAAAAATGTGAAGAAAATGCCGAAAATTTGCGAGTCGACGAACGGAAAAAACATCGCGCGCAGGTGGCGATCGAAGGATTTAAGCGTTTCGAGTAAAAAAATCATTACCCCGGATGATTGGTTTGGCTGAAAGATCGAGGAGGCAAGGAATGTGACCGACTTTCGTAGAGAAAAGCCGTTGGTGGATCATCCGATTCGATAATCGCGGTTCGAAGGTCGTATCGGACGGAGGAGAAACACAATGTCAGCCTCGAGCGTCCGCGGCGCGCGCCGGAATGACAGCCTCGTGACGTCGCCGCCGCGGCGCCACCGTCTTTGGTATCGGAGATGGGCGTTAGCAGCGTCGAAGGACGGCCGCAGCGATTGGACGGCGGACCGGCGTCGGATTGGCGGAGAGCGGTGGATGGGCAAGGCAACCCTGGCAGGCTGGTCGTTGCGCCGCGTCCGTGCAGGCCACGCCTACCGCGAGTCGAGGCCCGTCCCCGTTGGGACCCGCTGGCACGCCGCTCGAGCCGGCCCTGACACATTCGACAAGCGGCGCCGTAACGGGAAGCAACGCGCGGCTGGGGACCTCGAAGGACCTCTCTTCTGGTCACGAGACACCCTACCGACACTTTCGTGTCTACGATATACGCACCACGCTACCGTCGCCCGCTACTCAGATTACCGCTGCTCGACGCGTATCCACCTCGATCGCTTCATCCCAAGTGGATCGTTGGAGAATCTCGGAGGAGTCGCGCGTACACGCTGGGGACCTAGATCGAGAGGCAGCCGGAAAGCAAGATCCCGAAACTCGTCGGGAATTAGCCTGGCCGAGCTGCGAGCAACGCCGTGCAGGCAACTTACGTGCTACGCGAATATAGTAAGTGACATGGAGAGTGAGGAAGTTTAGTGACGATCGCGAGGACGGGGCTAGCCGGACAATAGCGGACACGAGACTGTGAGAGCCGTTGTAAACAAAGTCGTGTGAGCGCATAGTGGTCGATAGTGGAAGCAGAGGAGAGCAGAGGGGTCGTGGGTGTCGATCGATCGGAGACTCGAGTGATCCAGAATCGTTCGCGTAGACGCATGTGGGCCGACACGCGGTCGGCTGGCGATTTAATGGTGTGACAGGGCAGCAGGTCTGATCGATCCGAGGACAGGTCGGCGAGCAACGGAATCGGGGAGGAATCGAGATCGCAGGACTCGATTGATGCGCTCGCGTGAAGAAACCTGGCGGTGGAGAGGAGCGTTCTGACCGAGAGGTTACGGTCTCTCTCGATCAGTCGCAAAGAAGGTTCTCGCGAAGGGTGGCAACGCGAAGGAGAAAGCCTGTTGCCCCAGGAGAGTCCGTACGGCCTCACGACGCGGTCCGACGAGTGGAGCGGTCTCCTGCCCAGCTCCACGATCGTGGGTGCTGGGGGGTCGCCATGGCTCGGACTCGGCGCAGGGGGTGGCACGGGGGCTACCACCGGGGGCGGAAGCCCCGTCGAACTCGAGGGCCACTGGGGACGTAAGCTGTACGGGGCGAGTGTAGCTCCACCACCGCCGCCGCCTCATCACCACCCGCGGGCGCCGCTCGTTTTCGCGCCTCAGGACATGAGGCAGATACTCAAGGAGGAACCCGTGCCACGTGCTTGGCCACAGCCCGCGCTTGCCGACAACGGAACGTGAGTACTCTCTTTTGCTTTTACCATACTTTCCTCCTCATTTCCTCCTCTCCACTTCTCAACCTTCTCCTCTCCGTTCCTATTCCCATGGAAATTTACACCTGACAGAGACCCCCCGTCACGGCCGCAGACCCTTGTCTCTCGTTTCTTTCCAAGATTCCCAGCATTCTGGAAATTCCCAGTTGCGTGACGTTGATGTATGGATTAATTGCCATCGGGAAAGAGATGTAAACTTGAACTGGAAATCGATTGTTTCAAAGATCCCATGTTGTTTCCTTTATTGAATGTAACGTTTCCTTTGTATGTGATTTTGATTAAAAATAATGGCTGTTACAGTCCATAATTATAATCGAAATGACTGGGTTAAGTTTGATTATAGATCTAGGTAATTATTCGAAATATCGCGATTAAAATTCCGATTAATTTATGCTTCGTGCTTCTCGCGAATTTGGAAATAAGATCATTTACGTAGTTATATGAAACGGGATGTTTACCAAGGAGATAATCACGGAAATTAAATTGGGTTAGTCAAACGAGTTAATAATGTTTGCTACGAGTTGTACAGTTGTTTGTTGATCATATATAACGTTGAAAAGAAAAGTTGGTTGTGAAACGACGTTTTTCACCCCTCTCGCTGCAAAAATTCGATAAAAGAGGGAAAAAGGGAGAGCAAATAGCACGCCATTGCGTCGTCGCAATCCGTCGGACAGCGACAAGTGTCCTCACCAACGATTGCCGTTTAGAAATCGATAAAAATACGCATTTGCAGGAAAATCGAACAGAAAACCCCTTACAAACGATCAACCCATCAGCTCAAATTTTCTCCCGTAAAATTATCAACCTGAATCTTCGTTGCAATAAAATCCACACAATTTCGTGTAGAAACAGAAAAAGAAATTGAATATACAGCTAACATATAACTAACGTACAACAATTTTATATAAAAATCCTGTATCTTATGATATAACAATTATTGTCACTCTTGGTCACCAAAGTTGCAATGTCAAAATAAATGGCGAGTCTTTGGGTTACAGGACGATTTTTTGGCTCAAGAAGGGTACGAAAAATCTTCTGCTGTAAAGCTGATAATAATTGTTGAGTAGTAAATAAGAAATCGTATACTAATTTACACGCAGAATTATTTAATTTCGATACCTTGCACACTGTTACATTATTTTAAATTTGATATATTAATGAATATCCAGCTTCGAAATTTTATCAAATGGTGACTGAATGGCACCTCTCGAGTGCAAAAGATTAATAAACAAAATATTCCCAATTAACTCGACGAATTTTTCATTACAGAAAATTTCGAAGACTTTCTGCCATAAAGTCGACGATATTTTTAAAACGGTAAATAAGAAATCGTATGCAAATTAAGACGCAGAATTATTTTACTTCGACATCGTTGGGTAATTTAAAATTTTATTATATACTAATTAACATCGGTCTTTAGGTTCTCGTTAAATGGCGACTGAGGGTCGCCCCTCGGGTGAATGGTATCGAATAAAAATATTGAAATTTTATTAGAATTTAGTAACAAGGAAAGCAAGTGGAAAAAGATCGAAGAAACGGTTGCCCGTTTATTTTTCTCAGATTCGAAGACACGTTGGAATTATGACGCGTCATCAGGGAGCGACAATGTCCCTGGTGTTTCGTGCCACGCGAACAAATATCCAGTTTATCTTTGGAAGCCGAGCGTTTCAAAGCGGTTCACACGTAGCTGCATTTGGCGAACGATAAACCGTGCTTTATTGCAGCCTCGCTTAAGGGATTTGTACGACGTGCAAACGACGAAGGTACAGATACGCGGACTCGAGGAGGTAAACCGACCAGGGTTGGGGGCTCGCTAATCCAATAGCGGTTCTCTTAACTAACCCCTTCCAAGTGGCGTGACACGGCAGTGGGCGACCGGAATCGAGTTAATGTAATTGAGAATTTTAGCGCCTTTTGCCTCCCTCTTCTCGTCCCGTTCCCTCTACCGATCGTTTGTCCACCAAGCTATCGCGACCTCTAGCGTCCGAAACGAAAACTGAAAAATTATTCCGGCTCAACGCGCTGATAATGAGTCCCGCGACTAGGTCCATCGATGTCTTTGGGATTTTAGGAATCCTAAAGATTTATCTTGGTATACATAGACAGGAAGTGCATAGAGAGGACTGAAATTTGGAAAAATTGAGAAAGGGTTGGGAAGAATGGGGAAGTAGCGAGAAATTAGCGAAGAGTGGGACCACCAAAAGGGGGTTAAACTGACTTCTTATGCTAAGAGTATCTGAGGATTTGGGCTCTATTTGGAGAAAAGAATATTGGTTTTTATTCCAATGGGAAAAGTATTTATGAATGCTTTCTTATTTTTATTTTAACAATCGATTTGTAAATCGGGTACGTTCTATCAATTTCAAGATATTTGGAACTCTTGTGAACAGACGTTAGCGAAGTTTTGGATATGGTATATTTGAAAAGAATATTTTGGAAAATTTGTAACTCGATTTAGGATGCTTACAGATGCTGCGAGAATTTTTTCAGATTTTTTTTGAAATTATTACTCACTGGAAAACGCAAACGCAGGGACGCAAATGTCCCTGATTTAATAATTAGGCTAACAAACAGGATCAATTATTATTATATATATATTACGTAAATCATTTTTGTGTTAAAAAAACAATTTTCTTTTCAAATATTTGCTTTCTCATAATAAAATACGAAGTGTATGGATATTATATACTTTGAAAATTAAATTTTGAATTTTCCTACGTTTTGGATATTTTTATGCCAACTTCTTGTCCTAACATTTTATTGGAAAAAGGAAAGTAAAATATTTAAATATAGTAGATGTAGATATAGATACCTATTATAATAGTTATAATAGTAATAAAATAGTAACAAAAAGAAACAATTATTATTATATATATATATTACATAGATTATTCTAGTGTTAAAAAAACAATTTTCTTTTCAAATATTTGTTTTCCTATAATAAAATACAAAGTGTATAAATGTTATACATTTTGAAAATTAAATTTTGAATTTTCCTACGTTTTGGATATTTTTCTGTCAGCTTCTTGTCCTAATATTTTATTGAAAAAAGGAGAATAAAATATTTAAATATTTATATACCTTTTATAATATTGTCTATTTATTATTTATCTATCTAGTATCTATTTATCTATTATTTATCTATTTTAGTATCTATTTTATAATAGTATTTGTACATATTTAATAATAATTCAAGTTGACAAGAATAAATAAGTATAGGAAGAAATACGTTTGTATGCGCATAAAAATGCACATAAATTTCGGTAACTGTGAAAACAAAAGGTCTGAAATCGGTAATTCGGAGCGACTCGTTAGTTCTAGCGTTAAGCAAACCCTTTGAGACTACATTATTAATCCGTTTGGATCAGCATGTTCGCCGTTTGGTTTCGTATTCGAAAAGATAATTACCGTGCAATCGCGCGTTCACGAAGCAGAAACGACAGGTGAATTAGTCGTTGAATGACAAATCAGGTAAACGCGGGTCGTGATTTTATCCTCGTCGTTTCTATTGCTTTCAACGTTAATTCGATGTCATCCTGCTTAACGCGCGTAAAATATCGCGCTAATATAATTTCGCCGACGAAATAAACTCTGCTGCGAATTAATGAATATCACGGCGCACGTAACCTGACGCGATGTCGCGGAACGTTGGCGGAAAAACTTGGTTTACCCGCGACGCGATTGTCCACCATTTTCGATGACAAGCGGGCCAACTCGGATTAACTCGCGCGCGCCATCTGCGCTTCCTTAAACGCCGCTTAATTGATACAATGCCAAGACGGGTCGGTACAAGTGGGCCTGGACAAAGCGTTAAGCGTTGGAATCGTATCTGTTCAAATTTACCGTGGAAATGAAAGTTTCCACGGGTGGGAAAGCGGTTGTAACACACAGAGAGACAGCGGTGTAGGTCGAAAAGAGGGGTGCTGCGAGCAGCTCGGGCGAAACTGTTTTAAAACTCCCGGCAAACAGACATAAACTCTCACGCTTTTTAAAAACCCCTAAAAAAGTTACCCACCTAATGAAGCAGTAAACCATCGTGGCACGACGAAGGGACGGAGCCGTGTCGGCCGTGGAAAAAACAATGACTTTCCCTGCAACTACGGGGGATGAAAGTAAAAGGAATATACGAGGAAGAAAAAGTTCCGAAGCAATTGTTGCTTTAGCAAATCAGTGAATACGTTTTGCACGTAATGTAATCGCGGAAGTTTCGTCGTATGCAAAGTTAGGGCAGAGTATCACGCCGAACTACACACTATGTAAATTCATTTTGACAATGTCCCTAGTGCTACTTTGATAAACATTCTGTAACCGTGTAATTTCTCTTTTAAATCCTTCGCTATTTTTTCTTTTTTCTTTTATTACGAAGATGAGATGAAGAAATTTGTACAAATTTAATCTGTCATTTGCTGCCTCTTCACTTATGATCCTTCTAAGTACGAGTTGCGAGTGTCAAGCATTCATTGTTACAAGTGTGGATATAAATGCACACTAATATTTTCTACATTTTTAACAGTTAACACATTAATGCATTAGTATATTTAAATAAAAATATTTAAATAATGAAAACATCTTACAATAAACTATTTTAGACAAGAAAATTGATTGACATTTTCTAGAAAATTCTTCTCTCTCTCTGTCTCTCTCTCACACATACACATACACGCACACACTCTTCTTAACATACCAACTATATAACAACTATTTTATTCTGGTATATTTTTCTAAACATTTCTTCAAACATCATTTATACTAGACTGCACTTGCACATATCATTGCATACATCATCGCAAATGAGTTACACTTGCTCAACCTCATTCGCATTCACACATATAAAAGGAACACTTAACATCTTGAAACATTGAATTATAATGTATGATTTGTGCTTAATAATCACAAGTGTAATGAATAGAAACTGAAATCGAATTTTAAACCAATCTCTTCGTTCAATATCTTTTATATTGAAC